TGTTGTTGTGACTTGGCGCTCTATAAATAAATTGAATTGCACATGTGAGACGGGCATAGAAAAAGGACCTTTGTGTGACTGGGTAAACGGGGCTTGCATTGCGAAGCTGTGGTGTCTGCTTTCTGCAGGATCACATGATTCTTTGTGAGAGCCGATGTTGTTTTAACAAATATGCGTTTTATTGATGATATTGTGGAAAATAGGATTCTACCATGAATCCTACAGTGCTGTCGCTCAGTGGTGGAGGCTGCTGTTACCAGAAACATTAGTTTGCAGAGTGAGTTTCAAACTTCAGTAATTGTGAGAGTGGTGATTGCTGTGCATTGAAACTAAGCACTGTTCCCGATCATTTAAAAAGAGGGAAGTCTGGCAGTGACCACTAAACCATTTAGAAGAAAGATGGTTCCTGGTCTTGACATCAGTAAAACGACAAAGTTGGTTTTAGTTTTAAATCTAGGATTTATTCCATTATTTTTTCTGTCTATTTTTTATTTTCCTTCCAGATTTCATAAAAAGTTTACATGTTAAGCTTGTAATCGATGTTATAAACTGAGGTGTTAAATGATGTTGCAGTCATTAAGTTTACAGGTGGCATTTTGACTGTACGTCTTTAAGGACTAAACCAAATCTGTTTCCTGTTTCCATTTTTTGGAGGACCTTTTTTTAAAGGAAGTAACCGCCCTCCTCTTTTGTTACAGGAAGGGCTCAGTGCAGCGTGGGTGCCCAGGGATCCACTGCCTGAGTGTGGGGAGAGCAGCGGCCGAGACCCCAGAGACATGAACCACACCAAGGGTGGCCTGGTCATCTTCACCGCCAACTCGCACCCCTCGAGCCGTGAGCTGGGCAAGAGGATTGCAGAGTAAGTTCTTAGACATGCACTCAGACACACAAAGCAAGACGGGTTATTTTAGAGTCAAAGCCCATACACGTCCTCCAGGAGAATCTCGTCTCCTTTCTTTTGTCTCATATGGTAAAAAAGGGACTCCTGAATGTACTGCACATGTGTCAAGAAGACACGTTTTGCTCTTGCTTCCTCAAAGCTAGCAAAATGTAATCACTCAACAACAGTAACGGTTTAACAACGACAGTTTCCTGCAGCTTGGTGTCAGATTATGCATGCCCCTCTCAGTGTGTGTTTAAACTGTGGAAATGATCAATGTCGATGCATAAGGTTTCTTTCTGTAACTCAGGTTCTTTATGAGCTTCATGTTCACATCTTCTAGTCTACATAAATTGTGTTACCCCAGAGTGCCAAAAATCATTCTGTATTTGACTGAAAATAAAGGATTATTAAGGATGACCTTATGTTCCCAGTTCTGGAGATTCACCTGGAACTTTAAATGCTTCTTCTGTGTTTATTAATACCTTGAGCCTACATACGCCGTCCTTATGTGCTGTCTTTTCTGTTTTTAGCCACCTACCCAAAACAACAGGACGATTGTCCCGCCCACCTTCCCTGTCACCAGCTCATCAAATGCGTTTAACTCCCATCTTTGCACAAGCCTTTAAAAAGGAACCGTTTTCTAATTAAAGGGAGATAAAAGACTCAAAAGACAGCTGTCTGCAGAGCTAAACTAATAATGGGTAAAGTGTGTGTAGCCTCATTTTAACAGAACACGTGTGGTTGCTTTGTTAGTGTTTCATCATGTTCTGTGTAAACTGAAAATTCCTACAGTCCAAACGTACTTTAAAGTGTCCAAACCTGGACTGCACAAGGACATTTGAGTCTGTGTTTATAGAACAAACAGTGTTTGGCTGCTTTAGTGGACACTAAATACCTCACTGTGCACCAGCATGTAAACACTGCTTCTTATTGCATTTCCAAATGAATATTTTTTAAATGTTATACATATATTTGGTTGTGGGTTGTTTTTTAAAAATTCCTTTTTTTGTTTCAGGTTTAAACTTGATTACTGTTGTTTTGTCATTTTCTTTCTCAGGCGTTTAGGGGTGGAGCTTGGCAAGGTGCAGGTGTACCAGGAAGCTAACAGAGGTAAGCTCATATAATAATACA